TCAGTTTGCTACTTTTTACCCATCAATGTGATGCACAGAGACCACTTAGGACTAGTAACAGGTTGCTTATCTGTAATTGTTTTTAGGTGGCCATCTGTACATTCAGGCAACCCACATGCCTTTCCCATGGTATTTTTAGCCTGCTGTGAATATCCTTTCAGAGGGAAGTGAGTGGGAAGATATGACTCCTTTCCCTTGTGCATGTACCTGTGTACCTCTGAATGGAGACTGTTTTCACACCTAAAAGCTAGCTCTAGAAGTTTCTGAATTGTCCAAAGCTCTGTCCCCAACAAAGCCCATCAGTATGAATATGCAGGTAACCACTTGAAGAACAACAATTACATCTGTTTTTTTCTTCACAGCATGAAGTGTGTGCTGTTTGGTTTGACAATATAATGTTCATACTTAGAGTAATGAAGACTATACCTGACCTGTTCTGTTGTATTTGAAAGAGGTTATTGTGAAACCAATCCTTGGATCCTGTAGATTATTCCATTTTATAGTAAGTTGCAAATCTCCCCTTTTGGGGCAAGGTACATGTTCTTGGTCCACCTCATTCAGGCTTTAGGCTTGCGTTTGGGACTGTTGGTTACTTTATTTACTTATAACTCTCCTTTCCTGCTAAGACTCAAGATGGATTATACAGGGTAAAACAATATAGTCAAATAACATGAGACATCCAACAAACAATGCAATAGGACTAGGATCACAAAAATTAGTATGTAAAAAATAGTGCAGAAATGGAATTACAAAAGTAGAAAACAAGAGGAAGGTAATACATTCAATAAAACAGTGGAATAGACTGCAGTCCTGTTACCTTTATAAAATGACTTCCATTCCATTACACCGTAGTCTTATTCCTTTTACACAGATGCCCTCCTGAAATATTCTGTTTACAGAGTTTGTGTAATGGCCTGCCTGAGGAAGTGAGGAAGACCCTCATACTTCTATTATTATGCAGAGTAGGAGCCACAATAGAGACAGCAGATGTATGGGCAGCTGTTGATCTTACCTGTTTGCAAGGTGGCACCTTCATAAGACTTTGCTCAGATGAATAAAGCTGTCATGGCAGAGCATAATAGGAGAAATGATTCTGCAGATATGAGAGTCCAAAGCCATGAATGGCTTTGTAGGCAATAGCCAGTAGCTTGTATTGAACCCAGTAGCTGATAGCCCCATGGAGTGAGTCCAGAGTGACTCCAAGCTACAGGGCTCCATCTTGTCCTCCATATTCATTAATTCATTAACAGATCTACATGAAACCACTGACTAAGTTTATCAGGGTATATGTAATGAGGCACTATGAATATACTGATATTCAACTATTTCTCCTTTTCATCCAATTCAGATGGAGCAGTGGAAGTGTTGAATGTGTGCCTAGAGGCAATAACAGTCTGGATGAGGAGAGTGAACAAGCTGAAACTACCTCCTCCAGACAATACAAAGGTGCTTCAGTCTGTGGGTGGTGGTGGGTGTCAGGATGGTGGCCTAGCATAGTTCTGGGTATGGTAGCTCCTCACTGATAGCCTGCTCCTTGGTACTCCTAGATCCTTGGATGCCAGTGAGTGCCCTTTCCAGAAAATACAGGACGTGGCTGTTGTAGTTTGTACTCTGATGGGGCTGACCAAAGAACTTTTAGAAACTCTTATCTGATCCAAAACAGCTTGGAAAGGCTCCCAACAAGAGTATGTTGTAGTGGTCACATCTTGCCTATATTAAAAGAATTGCAATTTGTTTCTGGATGTGATTCCAAAGAGTTGGCTTTATTCTTTAAAACCCTACATAATCTGGCCGTAGGGTGTCTGAGGGAGAACATAATCTGGCCGTAGGGTGTCTGAGGGACCATCTTTTGTATGAGCCTACCCATCTGCCAAGATGTTCTGGAGATGCCCTTCTCCTACCCTTTTGAGTGGTGAGGGCAGTGAGAAGAGGTAGGGCCTTCTTGGCAGTGCCATGTGGAAAATTGCTTATTTCATAAGGCTTTAGATTACGTTCATTCTCCGTCTTCCCTTTACCCCCAGAATGAGGTAATCATTTTGTCCTACATGAATACTGGCTTTCTTAAACACGGAGCTTTGTTGGATCAGACCAGTAGTCTATCTAGTCCAACCTGTTTCACGTGGTGGACAACCAGTTGGCCTGGAGGGCCAACAAACAGTGGATAGAGACCTAGGCCTTCCTTTGATGTTGCCTCCTCTAGCTGGTATTCAGATGTTTACTGCTTCTGAAAGTGCAGATTCCCTTTAGTCAGCATGGCTAGTAACCACTGATGGACTGAATTCAACAATTTAATAAGTGATTAATGAGAGGATATTCAAGTAATACTTCTGCCATCTTCCTGTTTTATGTGTTGGTGGTTGTATTAAATTTTTGTAAGCCACTTTGAACCTGAAGAAAAGTGGGGTAGAAACATTTTAAATATCGTTCTTGACTGCAAAAGTAATAGTTTCATCCCTTGTTCATACTGCTTTATAGAAAAACAGGCTTTAACGTGATGTGTTTGAAAGAGGGTCACCAATTCAGTTTTAAGAGAATGTGTGTAGACTTCAGTATGCTGTACAGTATTACATTCCAATTCATTTTAAAATCAGCTTATTTTAAAAGCTTGCT